TGCAGCCGTCTTCACTTTCTTCTCGGATTTCTGACCTTTCTTTGTCTTTCGAAACACATCATTAAGGTTGTATTGAGGTTTGTTGTCAGCAGTGGTTGGAGCAAACCAAGATGCTTAAGCTTTGGAGGACTTGCACTTTAATATTTCTATCTTATGCCACTTTATGCTTCTTTACACTTCAGAGAGATATGTTATTTTCTACTGCATTGACCGTTTTAGTGAAGATAAGTGAGCCTTTGATAATCCCACAGTGGGGAAAATTTGCAGCGTTAAAGCAGCAAACGGATGAAAAATGAACAAGAAAGGTACACAAGTATTGTTGATATTGTACAAGCTCTTTCATAGGTAGAAATTCAAGATGTTGCACGGATTCCTCTGAATGTGGAAAATCATGATAATGCATGTGTAGATTCTTATAAAAGTAGAAAATAGGATATTGGCAGTTTTTTTTTAAACATACAGGTTTGAATGCATTGATGTTGAGCAAGAGAGAAATATCACAGTTTAGTGTGAAGATTTTACACAATGGATAATATAAGAGGCTTTTGATATACAGCACATCGTTCTCCGACCTTTTTGACTTCTGTTTTCCAATATGAGCGTGTACATGAGGCCACATTTGAGATGAGCTGCTTCACTGAAATTCTTACATGGTTCCAACTCAATTAAACATTCAAGAAAAAGTACAAAAAACTCCAAAAAGACTTGTGGATCAGGATCTTTGTTTTTCTTCTCTCTTTTCCCAAATGATCATGTTTGGAGCCTCAGATTTATCTACTGTCTGTACATAAAGCTATATATATAAAGCAGCTGAAACCTCCAGCAGCTACGACAGCAACACGCTGCTGACTCATTCATGCTTTTCCTATTAATAATCTGATGATGTCATAGAGAATAATAAGTCAGTCAGAGGGACAAAAGCACTTTTTTACTTATATTCCTTATGTACTTAGGCTGGATATTTCATGCACGGCTTACTTACAATGGAGTGTTTTAACATTGCTGTGTTGGTACTTTTACTTCAGATTTGAAAGCTTCATCCATGACAGTCAAAGTATTTTCACAGTTTGAAGCTAAAGGTGATTGGTTGTTCTGTCTGCAACGTTAACTGCTTTATATTCCAGAAATAGGGGAACTATGTACAAAAACAGCTTTAGCTTACAAATATATTGATAGCTCACAGCAAGAGCGCAGAAGTAAAATCTATTTTCATCCCAGTAGTTAACACCAACTGCTCGATGTTTCCCTCCAGCTAATTCTGGTCAATATGTGAAGTTCTGAATTAAGTTCTTGCATTTCTTTTGAAGTAAACTTTACAGCAGATACATGGGGAGTGTCTTGTGGCTCTAATGACAGTCCAAATTTTGCTTTTTCAGGGTTTTATATTTGAGGCAGTTGAATTTTTTTCCAGTAGCTAATCTTGTCTCTGAAGTCCTGGGGGAAGCTGATCAAATTATTAAGTATCACATTAAGCGAAATGTGCAAAATAGAATCAAGTCTGTGTGTGTTTCACTTCCACGAGTTTTAGGAAAAGAACAACGAGAGAAAATGCCAATCACCATGGAAACAGATGGAAATAACTGCTCATTTCCCTCTCGTCTCCTCTAATCTCTGTTCCAGATAACACAGTCCTCCCGTGTCCTTCCTTTTATCTCCGTCTTTCATTCGTGCCCCTCAACTGTCTTCTGTGGAGATTCAGTAATCCCGTGTTTACACAGCTAGGAAACGTTGGAATACTGTAAGATGATTAGCTCTTCCGCGCTGACTTCTGGGAAAGCGTTGAGGGCCCAAGTGCCATGATAAACAGTGTGAGAATTGCATGGTGAAGTCCAGATGGGCTGTAACTTTAGCACCTCATTTGTGATGTTATCAGGGGCCTCATGCTTCATTTGCTTTGGAGATTGGATTCTTTCAGCCACTTCAGTAATTAGATATTTTAGTGGCTTAGGGGAGTTTCTGTAAACTGATTCAAACACTCACATTAGTTTTGATTGTTATCTGATTTCTTTTTTTAAAATTTAAAACCTGCCTGAGGTTAATGTCATAATGCTTGCAAATAATATTAAGTCCTTCTGATGTTCAGAAGAACTGCTGGTACTTCTGTTTTATTCTGTTCTTGGTGGATGTTGATGCTGTTTGGCTGGTTGCCATATTGGAACAATTGTATTAACGCATAGGCTGAATTTAACTGTGAGGAAGGACTTTTCTGTGGATAACTGTGTGGCCATGAGCTTTCTAGAATGTTTCATGCAGTAAGGATGTTGTTGAAGCTGTGCTTGCTTGTTGGAGACTTAAGGATGCACTATGGGAAGAATGCAAATCATCGATGTCAGTGTGATGCTCTGGGCGATGCTGGTACATCCTATTGCTTTGGCATGTAGCTCCTACTGTACCTAAACATGCTGCAGACTATGTAAACCCCTTCATGGCTGTGGTATTCCCTGATGGCTGTGGCCTCTTCCAGCAGGATAATGCTGCCTGCCACACTGGCTCACAGCAATAGTTTGTGGAAGGTTCAAGGTGCTGACTTGACACCAAAATTTCCCAGATTTTGATCCAGCATCTATGGGATGTATTCGAAAAACAAGCCCGAACCATGGAGACCTTACTTTGCAACTTCTAGGACTTAAGGGATCAGCTAGTGATGTCTTAATGCCTGATACCACAGGGCGCCGTTGGAGGTCTGAGGAGTCCAGGCCTCACAACACTCAGAGCTGTATTTTACTTTTTTCAAACTCCCTTCCTTGACATTGATTGAACTCCTAAAAATCTCTCTCTGTGTATCAAAGCACATATTTTAAACAAAAATGACTCAGATGGACCTCTACATCATTGTGTCCTTTAGAATGTGTAGATCTATGGGCTGAGAGGCTGCCAAGGAAGAAGGGAGGCCTTCGTCTAGAAGTGGCACTTTTAAGGCTCGACTGAAGTTTGCTGCTGATCACATGGACAAAGAAGAGGCCCTCTGGAAGAAAGTTCTCTGATCAGATGAAACAAAAAAAAGCAAAAAAAATATGACTGAAAATACACCAAGAACACCAAACCTACTGTCAAGCATGGTGGTGGCAGTATCATGCTCTGGGGCTGTTTGGCTGCCAGTGCAACTGTTTCTTTACACAAAGTAAATTATATAATGAAAAAGGGGGATTACCTCCAAGTTCTTTCTTCAGGAAAACCTACAATCACCAGCCAGGAGGTTGGGTTTTGGATGCAGTTGGGTGTTCTAACAAGACAATGACCCTAAACACACATCAGATGGAAGAAAACTGCACCAGTTCTGTGAAGAGGACGAATCGAACCAGAAGCTTGTCTAGTTGAAGGGAAAATGCTGTATGTGTATTTTTGACCCAGCAGATTTTGTCATATTTCTAGAAAACCTATAATATAGCTATGAAAGAACTGAATCGTATGCTTGGTATTTGTTGACAAAGACACACGATTTTAATGATTCCATTGTAGACTATTTAGAGTTATAGGAGTCACTGGAAACTCAAGATTGCCCTGATATACATGGTCTTTACAAGTGTATTCAACTGTTCGTTTACGACTGTAGTTTAATAGAAGCATCAGTGCCATGTACATTGATTTTCTGTCCACCAGCAGCATCACACACATACAATTTTACACACCAGACATCTTGCACAGTTCCTTGTGTCGACTTAAAAGCAGAAAAATAACCCAAAAAAAACAATCACACCACCTGTGAGGAAACTTGATTTTTCATCGAAGCAAAAGTCTTCATGTGGAGTCAGATCACTGGGTTCGTATTCAGTTACTGTACAACATCCCGGTAACACATTAGTGTGGACACTTCACTGTAGGGCCCCACCCTCCTGAGTGTGTTGTGTTTATGCAGTCAGCGACCTTCAGCCTGCGGTAGCTCGTAGCAGAAGGGACACAAATAGGCTCTAGAACCACTACGATGCCCTAATGTTGTGTAGTGCATGTTTGTGTGTTTATTGTCTTCATAAAACCAACACATTTTCGGGTCAAAGCGTAATCTTGCGACGTTCACCTGCATCCCTTGTTCTCGTTACAGCCCACTGTGGTGTGCCTATCCATCCGTAGCTCTTTTCCTGAGCTGTGATTGATGGAATGAGCCACGGAGCAGAGAGAGGCGCAGGGAGGCGGATGTATTTATTGAAGCAAATAAAAGATGGATCGAGCGACGGAGACAGAGGGAGCAAGGGAGGGAGATGAGCTGTCAGGGGCTCTTGAACAGTTACCACCTGCAAAAAACAAGGCTTTTGAATCCCTGCTTCTGTGGCTCAGGTGGAGTGAAAAGATTCTCTTCAGATGGCATTTGACATGCTGTTATTACCTTCACTTGTGCTAATGGAAGTGGCCACACATGCACAAAGACAAATATGCAACTTCTTCTGCACACACTTCTCGAGTGGAAGCGAAATCCGCGCATTTCTCTGTTATTCAGGTTATTCTGTGACTTGTTTGCCACTGCAAAACTGGAAAAGGTTCAGGATTTACAGGTATGTGTGCGTGGAAACACCCACACACACTTTTCTCTGAACTCAAAAGTGCTCTGAACTGTTCTGAAAGTGGGAACAAAATAGAGGGAATCAAGACCTTTGATGGCAGTGTAGGAATCCGGTTAAAACGTTGACAGAAAGTCAAAGAGTTAGAGAAGAACCTGGTGTCAACAGTGTTTCCTCTCCAACAAGAGTTTTTTTTCTCAGATAAGGCAGAGCAGCAAATATATACGGCTTATTTATTACACGTTTTGGAAAAACTTGAGATAACACAACACCCACTAATGGCTTTACAAATGAGGGAAAGATAAACATTCATGCGCAGGGTGCAATAAAAGGTGGACGAGTAGCTTAAATGGACAAACAATAAGTGAAGGGATGTCACAATGGAGCTGACGGAGAAGAGGGGAAGGCGAGGACAGAGGAACACGGTGATTGTGAAATGTGAAAACAGAGCAGGAGAGAGGGATGGACCAATCTTCCTCTCCTCCACCAGAGCCGATGTTGTCGGACTTTGTTCTTCTCTGGCACGGCCGGTCGAAAGCCGAGTGAATACATCACAGGCCGGTTTATAAGTCACCCCCTTAAACCTCAGCGGAGAGGAAGGAGGGAGAGGAAGAAGAAGGGATGAATTGGGAGGAAGGAGCAGCAGAAGAACAACTATCGGAGTGAGCAGAACATAAAGGAGCTGCGAAGTAAAGTTTGAGGTTTTCCAGCATTATTTCGACAGCAGCTGCAGGGATGTGGATGGAAACCAAAGCAGAAGTGGAGGAGGCCAGCAGGAGTCGAGCCAGATCCAGTCGTCGGGTGTTGAACGGTCTGCTGTTGTGCACTGGAGACATGGAGCACTTGGCTAAGCACATGCAGGGTAGGAAAACAATATGTCGCAACAACTTTCTCTTTCTGCTGATCTTGAAGTATAACATGGAAACATATCATACGACTTTGACAAAATGTATTGGGAAAAGCAGAATTCTGAGTTTTCACAATGTGATTAATTACAAAACTTTCCAAACAGAGGAGGCGCCAAAACATGTGGAAAGTGTTAAATTACCATAATCATAAATAAATGACCCAGAAATGCTTACACCGCCGTTAAAATCCGCAGATGTAATCATTGCACAACTCCCACAGTGAATGCTGTTGCGCTCATCCCACAACGTAAAACATCATCATTAAAATCCCATTTTCTTCTCTTACAAAACCCTGAATTTGCATCAAGTAATCTAACTGAGGAATAAGTTATATGCTGCCTGTTTAGTTCCATTTTTTTTTTTTTTTGCAACATTTGTGAACACACCACTGGAAAATCTTGTTTTGTTTCACTTCTGTGTCCTCAGACAAGTGGTTTGTGCTGCAGCTGGCGGTGTGGGGCCTGAGAGGGGTGACCAGGGTGATCTTATCCAACAACCCGCTGAGTGGGGCTCTCATCCTGGCTGCGCTGTACTGGGCTTCCCCCTGGCAGGGCCTGCTGGGAACTCTGGGTGTACTGACCTCTACGCTGACAGCTGTCATCACGGGACAAGACAGGTGGGATGAGATGAATCAAAAATACACGCAAATAAAAGCACATTTAGGTCATGAGCTGGTTATTTAAAAGCAAAGAATGTCCCTTTTATACCATTTAAACATTATTTAAAACCTGAAGCCGACCTCGTAACGCAAACTATAATCTACTCAACCTTAACTTCTACTTAAAATTCATGAGAACAACATCACCATGACTGATATCTCTGCATACACCCACCACCTAGTGATTTTTATTTTAGATCCCGTCCCAATATTTATGCCACCCACAGTGAAATATGCTAATACGCAACCTCGTTGTAAGGTTTTAAAAATAATTCCAGCTGAACTGGGGCTCATAATGTTTTTAAGTCTGACGTGCTGAATATATTTGCCGTCACCTTGGGGCCTCCGCTCATTAAAAATGAGCAGTTTGTTTAATGAGGACTCATAAAAAGCTATGCTAATGTGTGTTTTGATAATGAAAACAAAAAGGCTTTTTATGGTTTTACTGTACGTCGGTGTAACGCGAGTATGTCGGCCTTCTGTTTTGGAAATGGAAAATGCAGGATTGGTTTGGTGAATCTTGGTGTTTGTGTGCAGCGCTGAGGTGACGGGAGGCCTCCACGGATTTAACGGCATGTTGGTGTCTCTGCTGATGGGAGTGTTTAGCTCGGCTGGAGACTGGTACTGGTGGCTGCTGCTGCCTGTCTGCCTGGGCTCAGCCACATGGTGAGACACACACACACACACACACACACACACACACACACACACACACACACACACGCTGCTTGTACTGTGGCAGGTTTAACAATTTATGTGACTGTTTCCTTAAAGTTCATGGCTCAGGTATAGGATTGCTCTTAAAGATCGGTGACAAATTAGCTCGTGGGGATTCTCAGCTCCAACAATCTTACTGACATTTAAACCGCCAGACTGCATGAAAAAATGTGGTTCGTGGAAGTCACTAATATCGTCTGTATATCCTAAACAATGGTAGACAGAAAGATTTATTATTTTAATCACCTTTTTAGCAAAAGTGCCAAATGTGCAGTGGAGCCTGTGGCGTTGTAATGGGTATTTTTCACAATTTGTGTATTAAGACATTAATCCTCAAACTGGATTATCATAATTTGTACTTGCAGCCCTATTTCCCTTGACGAATTAGTTTTATTTCTGATATTTTTGCAGCACCAGTTTGAATCCGAGGGAGCAATATTACACTATTGCAATGCCAATCAACCTGCAGACACGTAGACTGATTATAATTGTGCTTATGTATGTATGTATAATGCATAATTTACATGATGTCATTTACATTACTTGGTAGAAATCTGTTTCCACTTTGACGTGAAAGAATCCTTTTTGTATACTCTTGTTGAAAAGCAATAAAAGGGGAACAGTTCTAAGGGGGTTGAATACTTTTCATAGGCTCTTTTATATCCACATATCAGCCACAACATTAAAACCACCTCCCTAATATTGTTTAGTTCCTACTTGTGCAACCAAAACACTTCTGATCCATCAGTGCTTGGACATGGGACCTCTGGATGTGTCCTGTGGTATCTGGCACTGGGATGTAGCCCTTTGTGTTCTGTGGGTTGTGGGATGGAGCCTCCATGGATTGGACTCATTCCAGCACATCCCACAGATGCTTCATCAGATTGGTATCTTAGGAGGCCAGATCAATCCCTTGAGCTCTTTGTCTTGTCCCTTGAGCTCTACCTACAGTTTCTGGCAGAGGGTCATGTTCTGCTGGACGACGCTTTTGGAAGAGACATATGAGTCTGTAAAAATAAATTGTGTTCCTGTCACATGTAAGCAGCTTTCATTTCATTAAAAGAATCAGTATCCACTCTTTCATCCTCTGTTCCTCTCCCCAGTGTCTTCCTGTTCAGTGGGCTCTCCTCACTGTTGGACCGATGGGACCTGCCTGCCGCTGTGTTTCCCTTCAACATCACCATCTTCCTCTTCCTCCTCTGCACTGGCCCAGACAACCCCTACTTTCCTCACCGTACAGCTACGCCACCGGGGGCGCTGCAGTCAAACGGGACCGAGATCGTCGTGTTACAGGTACATGTTGACGACATGACGGGGTAAACCCTGGCTAGAATGGGGAAACTTTTGACGCACCTTCCAGTAAACACTGACTTGGTGATTTGTGTGTGTCTGGGCAGATTGAAGTTGTAATTATGTAGAAAGATTAAAACTTCCTGAGCATCTAGGTACCTTTTCTAGATGAAGATTTAAGGTGCAACACAACCCTCTGAACCGCACTGCTGTCTTGTTGGCATGGAAATGGAAACACTCAATTGAAGTACAAGTGAGTCAACTCAAGTTTGCACTTAAATACAGGTCTTGAGTGGATGCAGTTCGTTACATGCACATTGTTCCCCAGACAAAGAGCACAGGAGGAAGTTTTTTTTAACAACACTATACGTCCCCATGGAGGCCATTGGGTGATCACTCGGATCCAATACAGATCAAGACCAACCACAACGTCTCCTCTCACCTTCTTAAAATGCAGCACACATACTGAGACTAAATGGTACTCTGAGGCCAGGACATCTTCTTCTGAGAGGAAACTAATATTCTCATCCAGGATGTGCCAGAAGTGTAAATGTTAAGCAGCTGGGATGTGCTGGTGAGGCTATGTAATGTCTCTTTTTATGAATTCCCAATTTGCTCGTCCAGCGTTCACTAAGTTCTCCACCAAGGCACAGTTTTCACAAAAATCCAAACAGTAAGACCCCATTTCGTGCCATACACAGGCCTATAAAAAATATATTCAGCCCTCTTGAGAGTTTTTCTGTTCTTTTGTTTTTCAACATGGAATCATGGTCTATGAAATTAGGCTTCTTTTGACCAGAATCGACAAGAAAAAGATTATTTCATATCAAAATGAAAGCAGATTTCTACAAAGAAATGTCACCTGATTAAAAGTATACAGCCTAAAGTACATGATGGCATAAGTATTTAACCCCTTCAAGACAGTAGTTCATCGATGCACCTTTAACTGTATTAGCAGGTGTTGATAGGTTTCAATCAGTCTTGCACATCTGGATATTGTAATTTTACTCCATTCTTCTTTGTAAAACTGTTCAAGCTCTGTCAGGTTGTACAGGATTGGGATTCTCAGTTGGATTGGGATCTTTCTCAGCCCCTCCAGAACATTCACCTTGTTGTCTTTTAACCATTTCTGTGTAGCTTTGGCTGTATGTTTTGGGTCACTTGCTTACTTCTCCCAAGTCACAGTTCTCTTACAGACTGCATATGTTGTCCTCCAGTATTTCCCAGTGCTTTGTGGCATTCTTCATGCCTTCTACTTTTACGAGCCTTCCAGGGCCTTGCTGCCAAGAGAGCATCCCCACATAATGATGCTGCCGCCACCATGCTTCATACTGTGGATGTTGTGTACTGATGAATAACACTACACCACTAAATTAAAGAAACTAGAGACAGAAGTTGTGCAGTTTTACTAAATCCAGGAACCATTTATCATGAGCTAGAGTTTACAGTGAATGTCTACTTATCTGCTCCAGCATCTCTACAGTATTTTGATGAAGTTTTTTATTTGCTTCTTATGCAAATTGTGTTGATGCTGAATAGCCACACACTTGTCTCACCCGCACATTAGTAAGCTGATGGGGTCTCAAAACTATATTCTAACAAGGATTTGCATTGGTTCTCTTTTGTCATAGAAACTTTCCCAGAATCTGCTCAACAAGGAAGAAAAACACAGCTGACGGCTCATTTTGCATTTTTCTTTCATTAGCGTTGCAACAGGCGAGCTGCCACCAAGAGGATACCTGTCAAAGTAACATTTGCGATGATATTTAAACAGAAGCAGCTCATCAAGCCACATAACAAGAGCAGGTGCAGCTCATTAGTATAGTCTCAAAGGGAAATATTAGAAGTGATGGAATATATGATGAGAAGATCGCAAAAAAGACAAATCCAAGCTGAACTGAGGCCAGAATCATCCTCAGTGCGGTCGGCATGCTGCACCCCGGTCTCCAGAGTGAACAAGTAACTGATAGGAGCACAATATGCATAAGATCAGCCAGCTATGACTCACCAGTTACTTAGCAACAGTCAGCGGTCGAGCTCCTGTTTGGAAATTATAATCAGCCCAAACTGTTTCAATTAAAGAGCTGAGTCTCATTGTGTGGGTTAAGCTTTGTATGCAAGTTGGTGATATTTTGTTCAGTTTCTGTGGATAGAAAGCATCTGAACTTGGCGCAAATATCGTAAGTGCCAGGCAGGTTCAAGGTTTAAACTGAGAGGGATTTCAGAGATTAGGGATTCAGCTGTGAGTTTGGCAAAACCAGGGAGAAAGAACAAATAAGAACCCTGAGCGCTGAGGCTTAGAGTACAGTTGATTGGAACCGTAGCTATTGCGGTGTAGAAAATAGTTGTCTTCAGCTGATGAATTCAGATGAAATGAACTTACCTTGAGCTTCTTCGCACAAGACAAGAGCCCAGACTGTCACCAGCTGCTGCGCTCGGCTTTTGATCTCCGTCAGCCAGCTGGCATTTCAATGCTTGAGGAGCGACTGAATTTTAATTTTTGAAGCAGGCGGAACAGATTATGTGATATGAATCATAAAAGTTCTATTTTTCTTCCAAATGTAATGAATATACATGAAGATCACTTGTTTGCATGTGTGTTTATGTATTACTTGGAGTTCAGCAGTCTGTGCTGATTATATGAACAACAAAAGCCCTTGTGCAGAAACAAAGAAATCCACAAATTCCTATAAACATGCTATATGCATATAGAGAAACACTAATAACTATTCTTCATATATATCTTTACCATGCAAATTATGTGTATTTAATTCTAATACAGTGTGAAGAATTAAAGCTGGGAGTATTTTCATATAACCAATGCATTAAACAGATATGTGAGTATGGAAAAGGTCACTCACAGTAATGAACCCGCGTAGAGTTATCGCCCCAATCTGCAGTTATCCCCAGCTCCACTGCATGAATTAATATAATTCGGCTAATTGATTTGGTTTAATGGATGATAACTGGTCCCCTCTCACTGTGCATTAGGCTTCTTTCCAGATGCTTTGGGGGGAGGAAAGTGATTTGACAAACCCGCTGTGCAGTAGCTGTCTAGCACCAAACAGACAAAATTAGCAACTAGCTAATGAACATAGTGCCATATGTGGCAGCCAAAGAGGAAAATGAACCCTTCAGGAGTTGGTGCAGACTAAACTAGTGACTTGTAATTGCTGATTTGCCAGAAACGTGCCTCCAGCTGAATGCAACCTCATTCAAGTGATATAAAAGTGCAAACGGCTGCATTATGCTACGTGGTTTACACCCACGATTACACAGATTTCATTCCCGTTAGCATTAGAAAAGTTGATATATTTTGAAGTTGAAATCAAAACTACAGGGAGCAAGAGAATGAAAACATTTGACAGCATGGTAGAAAGTCATTTGAGGTGTCCTTGTGGTCTGGGATGGATTCCACATTATGGCCATGTCCCATATCCAGTTCCATCAGGGGACCACTGCTGCATGACATCCCTCCCTCTCTTTATTCACCCTCACTTCCTGTCTGTCCTAACTGTTGGCGATTGTAAAATTGCATAGCATTTAAAGATCCTTAATTTTTTTTTTACCTTGTTGACATATTTTTTATATAGACAAGCAGTCAGAGCCATGGCTGAGCATTCCTGTCTTGAAGCTGCGCAGATTCAGACTTCTAGTGTTTCACACGTAGCAAACCGAAGGAACCAGTCCTGTTAGTTTCTGGGGTGGGGTAATTTTCTTGTTCAAACCTGTGTGGCTGAATTCCTCCAATATTACAACTTCCCTTTGTGTAGCGCTGAGTAGTCTTAGAGTGTTTGGAGACTGCAGGAGCCGCAAGATGGACTTCATAGATCTGCACCAGTATAGAGTTACATTTAGCCATTTAAGGCAGGAAGGGATTATTTTCACCAAAAAATACCCATCAAAGTATGAATACTGATACTGATGTATAGATGCATTTTAAGGTGGCCTTTTAATGGTGAAATTCAGTTTTATTGTGTTTCGTAGTTGTTAAAAACATAAAGGTTTGAAATAAAAGCTTTTAGGATATGAAATAATTTACTTCTACCATTTCTCAAGCCCTGTCGCCTCCAGTTTTACAAATGGAACCAGGTGCTACCTCACACCTAAACTGCATTTCATTGCTTTGTACTTGTGCATGTGTAATGACCGTAAAGTTGAATCTAATCTAAACAGCCAATACTTGGCCATTTATAAGAGCAGCTTCCTCACAGTCCACGAGGTCCATTAACTCTAACTCTAAAATGTCTCAGTTACAAAGCAAAGCTCACAAATTGATGCTGTTGGCTGCAAGAGTGAACACAAGAGTCTCCATGCACCCCCAGCACCTGAGACACTGAAGACTGAGTGGATTGCTTTTTGTTTTGGATGTCACTACAAAAATAGGGAAATCCTCATTTTTTAAAAACCTTTTTCTAACCTTAACAATAAAAAGGAGATGTTTAAGACATTTATATTTTTGAGTTTTTAGGGGTTAAATCAATGAACGAAACTTCAAAGCATCAGTTAGGAATTCAGTGTAAAACTCAATCTATTCACTCACCACCTTAGATTAATACTGTAGCTGCAACACTTCACCTTTTACATCCAGCTTATTTGGTGCAAAAACACATTCTCTTTGTCTCAGCGTGACCTTGCTTCATTATGTGTTCCAGCACGAGCTCCTCTGGGAACACGATACCTCAGGCAGAGACGTGACCTGACCAGACCTGTAGGCGAATGTCTCGGCATGAAACAATCTGACGGACACCGCTGACTGCAGCTGTTAGATTTATTTCGCTCACCGCCTCGCGTGCGTTTCTGTACGCGGCGATCTGCAAAACCGACTGTGAAGTTGTCCAAACTAGATTAGCTACGCTGACTAAACCCCCTCAGCGCTGCTAGGTGTCCTGAATATAGAGTCAAGATTTACACACAGTTCTGTTACCAAGCATCGCGCCCCGTGGCACAGTGTGTCCTTCGCACTCAATAATTACTTCCCACAAGTTTCGGCTCCAGATATCTCTCTTTCTCAGTCCATTTTGCCTTGATTTAATGTTCCATATATTCCTTTGGTTCCTCCATCTGCTCTATAAATGCTGTCCCTTTCATTTCATCAGCTCCCATCGGCCTGTTACTTATGAGATCTGAAAGCTCTAAATCCTCTCTGCTTCTCCTCTGTTTCTCTGCTCTGCTATGCAAATCTCCTTCCTCCTCCACTTTCTACATTTTTTTTTTTTAAATCACCCCTTCCTCTCCTTCCTCATTTTACAATAAAAAGCTACATTTCAAGGACGGCTCAGTAGATATCAGTTATGGTGCTTGGGAAGCAATCTCACCTCTCCTTTCTTTTTTCCTCCTCCTAAATGTTATTTTATTTTTTTACATTTTTCTCTTCTACTGCCCTCCTCCTTCCCTTTTCCTTCCACCCATCTCCATTTTCCTCCTTCCGTCTCTCCTCCAGTTGTCTCCAGAGATGGCGATGACGTCGGTCCTATTTATATTTAATGTCTTCAGCTTCAGTCACTCTGCTGAGGATGGCGCTCCGGCTGCACTACCGTGTATTAAATCGTACACAAATGCACACACACATGGACACACAAAGAGTTGTGTGCCAGCCCTATAATTAAAGACCATTTATGACTTGTAAATATCAGCGACGGGCAGGTGCACCCATCACATCACCATGGAAACCCTTCACTTGTCAGTGTTGGGAGAGCAGTGAAAGTGTTTGAGAGGAAGGAAGCCTCTGACTATATATTCCACGCATTTTGTCTTGTGTGGGAGCTTTTGTTTTTTGCTCTTGAAATTTTTGTAATTAACACGGCGCTCCTCCTCTAACTCCCGTCTCTGCCCAGGTGATCCGTGGCATCCCTCTCGGCGTGGGTCAGATCTTTGCCTGTGGAGCCTTTGGGCCCTCCCTCCTCATCCTGGGAGCCGTCCTGCTCTACTCCCCCCTGCTGGCCGTCCACGCTCTGCTGGGATCAGCTGTCGGAACGTTGGCCGGTGAGTCTCAATCTGCTGCTGCATGTGTCGGCGTGGGAGGAAATCTTTTGTGTGTCACATGTTGTAATATAGCGTTTATTACACGTTGTTACATCAGAGGTAGAAATGTTTTATTCCTAATTGCACCCATACCCCCATAGCAGGCTGTAGTTACTGCTTTTAGGCTCATTTCACACCACTTTTAGTGTCGTTACTAACAAGGAAACTCCCAAACTTCACACATAAATGTCAGTTTACTAGTCATGGGGAGCAGCGCTCGGCCTGGTTGCGTAATAGCGACTCTGCAGGAGTTGTTAAGTCTGAGGCAACATTTGGAACAAAAAGCCGGCGACGCCAAGCGAGGGAGGACTTCTGTGTTTACCATTTCAGGAGAAAAAGAAAAAGATGGTTTTGACAAGCTTTTTAGAGCCTGACAAGTACTAAAAGCAGGCTATTTTTGTAGAAAGCAGCGATATGGTAGAAAATAGCAGAGAAAGAGAGGGCTCCCAGTGGTTCATAGTAAATAAGCCCATTTGCTCAGATGCTGTACTTAACCTTTTAGACCCCAAGCATTTTTTTTTTTTTTTTTGCTAATATCACATTTTTCCTCATCATAGTCTCGGTTTTCACTGCAATATAAAGTCCTGCGCATCTGAAAGGATTGAAAAAGCCTTGAATCAACATGTACTACTTTAGTCCAAGTGCACCCACATGTGACCAATACGAGGGGGGGAGGAAAAATCACAATTTGACTGTCATTTTTAGCTTGCTTCCATTCTCATCTCTCTATCTGCTCTGTGTGCACACTGCCTGGAGTTCAGCTAAATAGTCCCTGAATTTTTGTCTTGTGGCTGTTGGTTGCAGCTAACTACTGAAAAAATGTGTTGCACTAATGGTTTCACGGTTGCACCAAAGACTTTTAGTTTCTGCAAAGGCTGTGTTTTGGGACAAGTTTTTAAATGAGACATGTAAAGTAAATTGAATTTGGAGACTATTATTTTGGTTTTAAGCTTTTAAGTGTTGAAATTGTGAAGAAATGTTCATGATTTCTTTCTTTTACAGTTGCTAGCCTTGATTAATAGTTTACTTTTGGCATTTTTAAAAAAAGATAACGGCCTTTTAAACATGCTGGCGGGCTTCGAGGTTTAGAAATTTTGAGGTACATTTGCTTTATTTAATGCTGCCTTGTACTTTCATTCCACTACATTTTAGAGGCAAATTGTATTGTGCTTTCTTTCTGCTCCACTAAACTCATCTGATAACTTAGTTACTGAAATAAAGATATTATGCAGTGGATTACAAACTTTTAAAATACAACCCTTTTGTCTTCTTCCAGTGTAGTTGGGGTCACATTTCAGATGTCTATCAGTTGGTAACAGCTTTACCAAACGGTGATTTTTCCCTCTAAATGTCTCACATGGTTTCTATTTCAATAAATCTTCAAATAATCCAAGTTCTCAATGTAAAGATAGAATGTAAAATATTAGCTAAAAGGCAAAAAAAATTGAATGAAGTGTGAGAATTTTGTTTATCCTTCTTTCCATCCTATAAATCATGTGAAGAGTTTGTAGATTTATCTGCTGTCCCTTGATATGAAATTGAACTTAAAATACCTTGAACTCCACCTGCAACAGCTCACACACTGACGCTTCAGTCGTCATAATTCATGGATAGTAACATATCAGCAAGAGAGGCCAAAAACTTGTCTTTAACTACATTTTTGTAAGTAGAGTTTGTTTATGCAGGACTTTAACTTGTAATATAAAAAACTACTTTAATGTTTCGGTGCTGAATTCTTCCTTCACCACTGGAGGATCCTGACTCAAACCACGGATCCTTCACAGTTAACCCCTAAGCCTTTTTTTTTTTTGCTGCCATTCTGTCACATTATCTTCCTCCCAGACTTGTGAATCCATTATTTATCTTGTGCGGAGTCACAAGAAGCTTGAACTCCTCCCAGGTGACAGGTAGCAGGCAGGTACATACTGGTTAGGTTGCAAGTCAGTCACAGGGCAGACATCATTTACATTCACACAGTTAACCCCCTCCTGACCTTGGGCTGCCCATCATGCTGTATTTGGTTACTGAAACAATCATCCATTAGCAGTATCAGAAATGCCAGAATAACCTTCCATTTATTAGCCCAATAGATTGCAGCTCCCTGTATGGCAAATGTTAAATTACAGTACGTGTGGTTCAAAGTCAGGTAAGGTTTATAATTCCCCCTGGCTGTACGACAAAATGTCAGCAGCAGATGTATGAATAAGAAATTGTATAGCAGCAGCAGCAGCAGCAGCAGCAATCTGTGCTGCTCAGCAATTAGCCAGTTCACCGACACAGCTGGCTCATCCACAAACACAGGCCTGTGGCTGTGTTTGCCTTTTACATCTGATTCTATTTGGAGAGAGTTCAGCTCTGCTTCCGTCTGCAGCTATAAGTTCAATGCAGTGTCCGAACAGCCTTTGTTGTGTGTGTGTGTGTGTGTGTGTGTGTGTGTGTGTGTGTGGTTGTGGCTATGAGTCATACTGTAAAAAAAAAAAAAGCACAGATGAGTTGGAGGGAGACTCGCACAAACCCGTGGTGGCAGTGGCAGGTACACACAGCTGCAGCAAACACAACAGTGTGGCAGGAAGGTAATCAAAGACTTTAACGAGACTGTGAAGGCAGCAGAGCCGAGAGGAGGCAGCACGGCGGCGAAATGCACACGAGCAAGATGCCACGGTCTCCACAAATGCTCTCATCTGTGCATTCTGTCTTTCCTTCTGTCGTCTTTTTTTTTCCCCCCCTTCCTTCTCTACTTCATTGTACAATTCAGATATTTTGCTATTGTGAATGTCCTTTTCTCCAGTTCAGGGTTTTAGTGAAATCAAATCATTAGCAGACTTTGTTATTTGTTGAAAAAGTCAACCATGCTTTTATTTTTCTCACAAGATTGTATCATGTATCCTCCCTGAAATCTAAAATGTGCAGTTAGTCATAGTTAATATACTTCAGCAGAAAGTCTTTTCCAATAAGAATTTACCTCAAGATGTTGCTGTGAGTTGAAAGTCTTGATATAAACCTCTCTGACTGGAAACCCACGAAAATACTAAAACACAAGATTGTATAAAGGTTATTCTTTGAAAAATCAACCCTTGCTTGCAACTTGATCCCCTCAGAATCAGCACTTTAGTATATTTAATGAAAGCATGCAAACGTTTGCCTTCATACTATGAATATTGTCGGAGCTACAAGCCCTTTAAGTTCATAGGGGTGGGTTGAAACTTCACTATTTTAATTTTACGCCATTTTTCTATCGAACAACTTGCAACCAAATCTATTTTACATCCACTCCAGGTGTCACAATCTAAAACCAAAATCTTGTTTTTGTTCAGCAAAATTTTTCTATAGCCAACTTTGAGCATCAATATTATGGGATATATAGTTTCAAAACCTGCAAGCATTGATACTCAGGATTAGTTATCTGTTCTAATAACTAAGTGGGGAAAAAAACATTAAAAGTGCTTTTTGGGTTAATTTCAGGTGTCATTTTACAATGTGGGATGGGTGGTTGATCAAAACAAGCTATAGCAAATGAAAGGTTTAATTTTTACCTACATTTTGATACCAGACTCGTCTTCATGTTTCCTTCTGTGTCAGAATCATGTTCTTACACAGTCATATCTTAACATTTGCATCTTATGGTTTTGACATAGAGAAACAACTCTGGTGTTCTCAAGTTTTAAATAATATTTTTGGACAAATCCCAGAAGACTGGAGTGTTTAGCGTTCGTTTGAGAGTTAATTCTACCGTGATAAAAGTTTTTATTCTGTCAGCTTGTTCTGTCGTCACGTTGCCAGACTGAGAACTACGGTCATGATGTGGAATCTTGGTAGCCAACATTTGTCTTTTCTACAGAGCCAGGAACACGATTGTGCAGGAATTAGCATGATTTTAACTCCATGAGGGAAAAGAATCTCAAATTTTAGTTTTTGCACAGTTTCACTGAATGCAGTCGAGTTAGTGTCGGGAAGTTTCTCTTCAGATTTGCTTGATTTTTAATGGAATGACCCATAATGAAGGCGCAGATGTCGTCTTTTGATGCTGCTCACAAAAGAGACAAAGTAAAGAAAAATAATAAATAGTCAAGTAATATATGAAGGTATTTCCCTGAACTTGTCATTTCAATCTGAGAGCATCACTACTTCACGTATGTTCAGATTCTGTTATTCTTTCCAGCTAAGCCCTGTTGTTTCCCTCAAACAGCTCCTGGTCTCATACGAATCAGCTCAGATTTCGTGGTCTGCACTATATTGCTACACGATCACGCTGCCGTCTGAGTGCGTCTTCTCGTTCTCTAACTGCTTCAAAACTTCTGCTCTCAGATTTGCATGAATTTGGGGAAACAGCCCTGTCAGCATTCCTCAACCAATACAACACCAGCTGTGACATTGACCAATGAAACTACTGTCACTGCCGTCATCACTCTTTTTGAGATTTTCCATGAGAATAACAGAGAAACACCGTCCAGTTTGTCGCTTGTTGCTGACTAACAGTGTCGGCATAATTAAGACTTAAAGGCTTGAAACCTATTAGCATGGATGCATTACCGTGCCACAAACGCGCCTTTGCCAATTAAATCTGAAGAAAGTGAGCTCCATTAAACTAAAATACTCATTGAGCTCTTTGATTTGAGGGAATCATGCTGGTCAGTAACCTGTTGAACTACCCAGTTTTCTCCTGTAGCAACTCAATTAAAAGCCAATGTGTGACAGAACGACTACGACACATAGCTGCTTCAATAAAAAACAACAGTGTAAATATAGACAAAGGTATATGTATTATCTCCAAAAGTTCTACAAGAAAATAAGTGAAGCACATACATAAGGCCTTGATTTAACTGTTCAACGTCATACCTGGCTTTCTGTTGGTTTGCGGTGTTGTTAGATTGAGATCTGGGCACGAGGAGGCTGAAGACACTGAAGCACAGGACATTTTGTGCTGCAACAGTCCATCTGACAAACAGCAGATTGGTTCCCCA